CTGCATTTTCATTGCTGGGGTAGAGGATCTGTTTTCTCCACAAACAAAATTAAATTTTAATTTCTCCCTTGCTCTCATGTAAATTAGTGAGAAAATTTCTATGACATGGCAGCCTTTTGGTCCATTTTCCTGAAAGACTGAACTCAACTTTTTGGCTTCTCTGAAATGGTTTTGATTCAATAAAAGATGAAATGAAACAAGTGCCAACCTTGTGAGTAATTTAGTACTAAGTCTGTATGTACATGTCTGCTACATTTTGCCCCTTATGGGTTTAGTGACTTGGCAGTATAATTTAAAGACTGAAATTTTGACTCTGTAGCACTCAGGTTTCTGGACATTAACACATAATGCTCTTGTGTAGATATTTTGAGCCCTGCAAAAAATGCTAAAGGTTGCTTAGGCTGGAAAGCATTTCTTCTGGGCCCATTCATAATAGATGCTTTTATTCCCCAGGGCTGGGTTAGTGATAGGGTAATTTCCAACCATTAACCCAGACTCTCCTTAAACAAATGTTGGAAACTGTCAGAGTTACACAATAATGCTAAACAGCCAATGAAAATCAAACACTCCAGATAAGATTAAGATGTCTGTCCAGAACTGAAGGCTCCTAGGGTTGGCATTCCTACACCAGTGTGGTAGTCCACCAACTTACATATGAGACCCCCCTGTGATCCTACCACGTATACATCATGACTCACCACTGTATGTTTTTTTAAGTCTGTTTATTTATTCTATTAATGAGAGAGAAAAAGAGATAGCTCCCCCAACAGGGCCTTGACACCGTAATCTGTCCCAGCCTCAGTCAGGCCCAAATCATGGGGACACATGTTGTCCAACCTACTCAGAAAGGACTCTGGACATGAATCCATTCTTCTATCCTATTGTTCAGCCACACAGAGCATCTTGTTTTCTCACTGTACCACGATACAGCCCAACTACATGTTTTAAACCATAAAGTGTTTGGCAGAGCAGTGCCAAAAGCAGCTGATTTCCAAGGGAGTAGCCCATCACTAAAGTGAAGGAAATTAAGGTTTTGTTCAATCACTATGGTGGGTAATAAAAGCAAAATTACTAGAATGTACCAAAAAGCAAAGACTCAAAAGAGGCTTGGCTAGATAAGGACTCCTTGGAGAATTGTTGTGCCATTCTGTAAAGTCCCTCTACGTCAGCGTGCTCTTTATAGATGATAATCTGCTTTCACTCAGAGTCTACAGATTTAAATGTTAAACTCATCAAAGATATCCCTTCACAGAAACATCTGGAAAAGTGTTTGACCAGATTAGCTGGGTACCATGGCCTTGCCAAGTTGATGCATAAAACTAACCACCACAGCCCATCCAACCAGATTTGACATTGTCCTTAGCTGCTGAGTTGAATTCACACAGAGGATGTGCCAAGGCCAACAGCAGCACTTCCCCCACCCATGGGGAATGGCCACACCACAATCGCTTCTTCTCCATTTCTTCCTCCTTTTGAGATTTTGGATATACCTGCACATGCGATTGCTGTGTTTCTCAAGCCACTGCTTCGGAGACTTGAACTGGGCTGTTAGCCATGTAGGATCTGACTGCCCTAAGCACCACACCACAGCCTGGTCCACTAGTGCAATATAAATTGCAGTATGTAAGGAAAATGAGCTAACCGGCTGGGAGATGTGGGAAAGTGACAGAAAGGGAGACAGACAAGATGTCTAGGATGGACTCTCAGTTAATGAAAGAAGTCTAACTACATAAAGGGGAGGTAGAGTGCTCAGTAGGCCAATAGACCTATTCACTTTTCTGTCTAGGGCAAGTCCCACTGGAATATTAACTGGGACAGTGCAAAATAGAGACTAAACATATCATGTTCTGTGTGAGTGTGAACAGAAGGTGATGACTCTGGCTTCATCTGAGGAGAACACAAATGTCTAGGTATCTGAGGAGTGTTTACCTATGGATGGATGTTGAGGACCTTCCAACTTGTAAATATGGTGAAGGCAATCCTCTGAGTCTTTTACTAAACCAACGATTAGTTACATTTTTACCATCTACCATATCTCCAGCTATAAATTAGCCACTGGAGAGAATAAAAGATACATAAAGATATCTTTAAAGATATCTAATACACAGCAGAATTTATTAATATTTTATAATTATTTATTTAATTTATCACTATTATTCTTTTAATTTCCTATAGGATGTGTGTGCTCATCAGAGAGAGAGAGAGAGAGAGAAAGGGAGAAAGCAAGCCACCAGATCTGGGACACAAACAGCCATCAGCCATGTGGAATCCCAGCACCTTAACCACCATGTCACCTGCTGGCCCCAACACAGCAGAATTTAAACTCTGTGGAAGGAGTCTAAAATATCAGAAGTAGAGTCGAGCATGATATCAGATCCTCTGGAATCACGGGCTGAGGAAAGTGGTGCTGAGAAATGAAAGCAGGAACACAGCAAAGGTGAAAAGACTGAGGGACCAGGCAGAGAAAGAGGAATTGCAGAGGGGTAACACTCTGAGTGGGGGGCTTGGCTGAAGGCAGATAGAAGGGAGTAGAGAGGAGAGAGTAAAGGGACGAAGAGGGAAGCAACAATAAGGAAAGGATGGCAAAGATGGAGTTTCTTTTGGGGTCGTGAGAAATTATTTAGGTAAGGAATGTGAGCCATATGGATTTAATTTCATGCTAGACCCAAGGGGTCATATTAATGTTTGCATTGGGTCATTTTAGAAAGAGTCGTCTGGCTGCGACCACAAGGTCTATTTGGGGACTTTTCTTCTTCTTTTTTTTTTTTTTTTTTTGAGAGGTTTTCGCTATAGGGCGTGTGCACTCGCCAGACAGACAGAGAGACATAGAGACAGAAAGCGAGAAATCACCCCCCAGCGGGGATGGTCATGCCACAATCCCTTCTCCTCCATTCTCCTCTCAGGATCTTGGGCACGCTCGCACACGCGCCCCGCGTGATTTTTAAGCCACTGGGTCCGGGACGCAAACCACAGTCGACTATGTGGCAGTCCAGCGACACAGCCATTACGCTAACTGCTGGTTCCCGGGACTTTTCTTCTGAAGATGAATTTAGCCAGGAGTGGGGGACATTCTTCCCAGAAATTGACAAGAAGCCTATCAGCACTCTGACCAGAGACTTTGCCAAAAACAGTTTTGAGCAGCAAATGTGACAGTGGAAAGAAAACAGGCTTTAGAGCCAGACAGGTTTAACTCAAGGTCTAGCTAGCCCTATCACTTGTCAGCAAACTACTCCATCTCTCAGAACCTTAGTGTTTTCATCTGCAGAATGAGTTTCATATCTGCCTCTTAGGATTTTTGTAAGGAAAGCAGCTGGATCCTAGAAAACACTCAATGTATTAGTTCTTTCCCTTCTCCCTTTTATTTATCAAAACTATTAAAGAAAACCTCTAATGCTTGATCTTATATAATAATATTGTGTGGCAACTTAAAAGTTTGTTTCATCTATAAACATCTAAGGCAAGGGAAAACTTTTGATTCTTTCTTGATTTAAAAATTGGAATTTCCAGGACCAGCAGTTGGCATAATGGCTATGTTGCTGGACTCCCATATAGTCAACCTCAGTTTGAGTCCCGGACCTGGTGGGTTAAACTCAGGCCGGGAGTGTGTTCATGCATGCCCAAGATCCTAAGAGGAGAATGAAGGAGAAGAGACTGCAGCATGGCCATCCTCCCTGGGGGGTGATTTCTCGCTTTCTATCTCTCTGTCTCTGTCTGCCTGGTGAGCGCACGTGCCCTATAGCAAAAACCTCTCCAAAAAAAAAAAAAAATTGGAATTACCTACAAAAGTTCAGAATGTTTTTATTTTAAGGCTGACCCTACAGCATAGCAAGGACCAGATTCCACATAGCTGATCGCAGGTGTAAATCTTGGCACAGGTGCCTTGAAAAACTCACCAGGATTTTGTGAGTGCCCCAAATCCTGGCAGGATGGAGAAATGGAGAAGGACATGGGGGCACCTGAGTGGGGGTGTTCTCTCTTTGATGCATACACTCTCTGAAAAATGTTTTTATTTTAGAATTACTTAAAACACAAATAATATAATTTATTCATAAAGAATAAACATTTTCATTATTGACTTTTGAGTAGCTTTTTTTAAATTAAATGTTCTTTACAAATTCAATTGAGAAGAGGGTTGGAGATAAAAATGAATGAATGAGAGAATGAATGAATGGATTTCTACAGTGTGAGGGACTGAAATAGCTGCTTCTTTATTTTAGCAGTTGAATTTTCTAAAAAGACTTTTATTATACCTGAAAATCAATATAGATTTTTTTAATATAAAAAATGAGACTCTCCCATTTTTTACTTTCCCTAAACCAATCCCAGGCAAGCCTCTGTATGTGCAAGGGAGTAGACAGCCCTGCCCTACTCAGGTGTGGAGCTTAAGGCCAAGAGGAGGAGGTGACAGATGTAATAAGGCCAGGGATGTGAGTACATGTTGCAATTTGCCTTTGTCCTTCCAAAAGGAAAATATCACTCATGTGACTTATGCAATAAAAGGCTCGTTTTCCAGGAGGAAAAAAATAGATTCTTGGAAAAGAAGAGGAAAAGAAAGAAAAGACCTTCCAGCTGTGATGACACACACTGTTGTGCTCTGCAGGCCGGGAGCACATGACAAGCCCTAGTCCAAACTAAAGGCCAGGCACAGTTCTGTGCCAGGAATCCCAGCTGCTTGGAGAGGCTGAGGTAGGAGGATCAAGAGCTCAAGGCTGGTCTGGGCAACACAGAAAGAAAAGAGAGAAGAAAGAAAAGACCAGGAAGAAAAAGAAAAGAAACAGAATTTAAGAGACCAGCAGATAGTGTAGTGGTTATGCCGCTGGATTCCAACGTGGTCGACCACGGTTGGAGTCCCAGACCAGAGGGTTTAAAACTCGAGCGGGCTGCGTGTGCGTGCATGCCCAAGATCCCAAGAGGAGAATGAAGGAGAAGAAATTGCGATGTGACCATCTCGTTCTCTGCCTCCCTCTTTCTGGCAAGCGCATGCGTCCCCATCACAAAAATCTCCCTCTAAAAGCAAAACAACAGACAAACAACAACAACAACAACAAAAACAAAGGAATTGAAAGTAAAGCTGTTTGAGACAGTGTATTCGGTAAGGAGTGCTGTGCAGATGTGAGTGTGGAGAATGTGTGTGTACCTGTGTGCGTATGTAAACCTGTGAGTGGAATGACGAGCGTGTACAATGTGCGTGGAGTTTGGAATGTATATATGTGAGTGTATGTGAGGCATGTGGGTGTGAAGATGTAAGTACAGAGAGCTTTATGTGTGGAATGTGTGAGGGGTGTGGAGCGTGCACACTGCAGTGCGTGCAGTGAGATGTGTAAGGACTGTGGAGGTGTGAACGTCAGTGGAGACGATGTGAGGACACACAGCGTGTGTGCAGTTTGGAGGCTGTGTGTGGACGTGAGTGTGGAGGGTGTTGTGTGTGCTGAGTGCAGAGTGCCTGTGTGCTTGAGTGTGAGTGCGATGGGTACGGCCGAGCAGGCGCGTGGGCGCGCCGTGAGAGCGTGTCACCGCAGCACCCCGTGCGCAGTGTGCGCGCGCCCGCGAGCGGAGCGCGGCGCGGGCCCGGGGCGGGCGGGCCAGGCGCCCGGGGCCCGGAGCGCGCCGCTCGGGTGGGGCGGCGGCGGACATGTGCAAGATGTCCTTCAAGGTGAGCGCTGCGGGCTCGGGAAGCGCTGTCCAGGCCGCGGGGCCGCAGGGTGGAGAGAGGCGCCGCCTGCATCTCCCGGCTCCCGGCCAGGCGGAGGAAGTGGCGGGGCTGAGATGCGTCCCGTGGGGTTGTGGTTAGCCTGTGTCTGCTTCGCTCGAAAGGCTTTCGGCATTAGAGCTGCGGGTCAGGAGAGTCTGGGCCAGGCCGAGGCGCGGCGGGGACTGTCGCCGGGGTAACAGGTCCGGGCGGGGACGCGGGCAGGGTAGGAGCTGCGGTCTGCGCTTTCCTTCAGCTGCAGGCTTCCTGAGCTGTCCCTCTGCGTCTCTTGGAATGCCAGCTCCAGCCTCTCACCAGAATACTTTTTCTGACTCTGAAGCAGAGTGATCCGCCCAAGCGTGGAGCTGCAGTTGATTACAGACTTCAGAGTCTGAAGAGTCTAAAAGAGTTTATTAAAGAGATAGTATTGAGTCTCTACGGATTAGAATGAAAATGAGGTTAATTGATTCGCCTCTATTGAAAGGTTTCGATAACAATAGTTTAAAATGTATTGAGCACTTAATCTTAACCTGGACAATGTCTGAATCCCCGGCAAGGCCTGAGATGGTGCTCTGGGTGGCTCTGCCTTTTTTTCTGATTTTGTTTTGTTTTGTTTTAATGAGGAAAGCCAAGGCATAGAAAAGTTAAATGACTCCTGTAGGACCCTGAGCCAGTAAATTAATGGTGGTTGTTGAAACCCAAGTGTGTCTGACCCCAAAACCACTGTAATTCCCTCCCTTAAAATAGCTCATGTAAGCAGGAGAATGACAAGAGGAGACTTGCATGTTAGAGATATCTCTGGCTACAGTTTGGAGAAGAGGGTGGAGCTGGGAGACTAATGAGGAGGATGTGTAGTCATTGTGAAGAAACGGCAGGGTGCCAGGGCATAGGTGACCAGGAAGGAAGGAAGTAGATAAATGTGACTTGAAATTTTTAAATGAACTGAATTCAATAATGGATGTCATTCATTGAGGTGGGAAGGCAAAAGGGGTAAAGAAGAAACGTTTGGTTTAGTGTAAAGGTTGAGAATAGATGGGAATTCAAGCAGCGCTGTGGATTAGACAGCTACACAAACCCCCAGAGCCCATGAAGACGTCTATGTAGTAGGTAGAGGTGAGAATTAGGAGTCACCAATATTAAGCGATAACTGAACCCATTGGAATGAATGTGATTGTGAGACCATGTAAAGGTGGAAAATAAGAGGGCTGAGGACAAAATCTTAAATAAAATTATGATTGAAGAATGAACAGAATAAGAAGCCTACTGAGAATACTGAGGAGCAGCCAGGGATGTCTGAGAAAAATCAGAGGCATGTGCTGCTCAAGAACTGTTGTAGATGCTGCAGGAACTGTTGAAGAAAGCTGAAAGAAACACCATTAGCTATGCATATACCAACTTACATGCAGTATGTTAGCATTTCAATACCTTGGTTAGTCTGTTCTAAAAAAAAAACTTTCGTGATTAGACTTTTCGAGTCACATAATTTCCTGGAGAGTCATTCAAATTATCCTGTGTTTCACATGTAAGACATAGAATCTCTAGTCTTTCCATAAAGATGAAGAGGAGCTTGGCTGGTGTTAAACACTACAGGGAAATCGATCAAGCCAAAAATTGAAAAATGCATTGGAATTAGTAACAGAACAGCCACTGGTGTCCTTACAAATGCAGTTTCAATGATGAGTTACATTTAGGTGCCAGATTACAATAACTTGAAAGGAGAGCAGTAAAAACCACAAACAGAGATCTCTTTTAAGAAATTCTGCAAGCTACAAGAGAATAAAGCAGAGCAGTGGCTGGAGTTGACCAAGGGCTTGTTTGCTTTAAAATCACAGAGATTCTTGGCTCAGCCACTGTGGCACAGACAGTGGAGCACTGCAGCATGATGCTGGAGCCATATGGGAAGGCCTGAATTCAGATCTTGGGTTGGCCTGAAGATGCAGGGCTCTAGGGCATCCCCACGATCCTGGTTGGATGGAGGGCTCGGGGATAGGGGACACTGTAGCATGGTAGTACATTATTGAGGGTTCTTGTTTCTCTCTTGAAGAAGAAGATAAATGAATAAACTTTGAAGGAAACAAAAATAATGATACTTTGACAATAAAGAAATTAATAACTAATGCAAATTTTAAATGAGCAAGAGTCTCTGAGTAGACATTTCTCTCAAGAAGATGTACGATATCCAGTAAGCAAGCACCTGACATCATGCTTGACATCATTAGCCATCAGGGCAATACAAATCAAAACCATAATGAGATACCTCTTCATACCCACTAGGATACCTTTAACCACCACAACAGACAATGACCAACTGTTGGCAAAGAACCCTTATACAATGGTGGTAGGAATGTATAGTAATGCAGTAATTTTTTAAAAGTCTGGTCTTTCTTCAAAAAGTTAAACATAGGGGCTGCCAGTTAAAGCAACTGAATCCCACATGGTTGACCACATGGTTCAGGTTCCAGACCTAGAGGCTTGAAAAACACAACAAGCACATGTGTATTCATGTCCAAAATCCCAAGAGGAGAAATAGAAAAGAAGGAATTGCAGCATGGCCATCCCCCATGGGAAGTGCCTTCTCACTTTCCCTTTCTCTCTGTTTCTCTCTCACTTGCACCCACATCCCCCAGTAAATTAACAGTGAAAAAAAGTTAAATATAGAATTAACACATGAACCAGAAATTCCACTAATATATATACATATGTGTGTGTGTGTGTGTGTGTGTGTGTGTGTGTATGAATAAACTTTTGAAGGAAACAAAAATAATGATACATTGACAATAAAAAAATCAATAACTAATCCAAATTTTAAATGAGCAAGGGCTCTCTCATATACATATATGTATGTGTGGAATTGCTGGTTCATGTGATATATATATATATCCAAAAGAAATGAAAACATTTACTCCTACAAAAACTTATACACAAATATTCATAGCAATATTGTTCATAATAACCAAAAAGTAGAAACAATCCAAATGTCCATTAACTGATGATAATAAAATGTGATGTGTATTATAAATGCATAGTTGGGAGGCTTAAACAACAGAAATTTATTTCTCACAGTTCTAGGGGCTGGGAAGACCAAGATAAAGGTGCTAGCAAATTTGGTATTAAAGAAGGCTTCTTTTCCTGGTTTGCAGATGACCTCTTGCTTTCTGTTTCCTAACATGATAGAGAGAGAAAACTCTGGTGTCTCTTCTTGTTAGAGAGAGCTCTAAGCCCATCATAGTGGCTCTACCCTTGTGACCTCACCTAAATCTAAATAATTCCAAATACCCCACCTCTTCATACCATCACACTCAGGGTTAGTGCTTCAGCATATGAATTGGGAGGAGAGGACACCAAAATATTTAATCTATAATATTCTGCTCTTGATCCTTCAAAAATGATCTCCTTCTTACATATAAAATGTATTTATTCCATTCTAACAGTCCCAAAGTCTTAATGTGCTCCGTATCTACTCTAAAGGTCTGAATATCATCTAAATCAGATGAGGATGGGACTTGTATTATTCATCTTGAGGCAAACTTTTCTCCAGCTGTGAGACTATGAAATCAAACAAGTTAATGTGTTTCCAAAATGCAGTGGTAGGACAGACCTAAGATAGATATTTCTACTCCAAAAGGGAGAAATTGGAAGGAAGAAACAGGTGATGGGTCCAAAGCAGTCCAAAAACCTGGAAAGGAAAATACAATTAAATCTCAAGGCTTAAGAATAATCCTTTTTGGGAGGGAAATCTTGGCTGGAAAGTTGAATGTAGCGCTGTGTTCTCCCTTATCCTGTCCATACAGAAATTGTCACTCTACTGTTAGACTTTAACATGCCCTCCAGGAAACTGGCTCAAATGTGTGGGTCGAAGACTCTCAGAATTTGAAGGGATCATTTGTTCAGTCCCATTTTATTAAAAAGAGAAACAAATCAACACAACCACCTGGTCACATCAGCCAGTTCGCTAGAGGAAGAAACCTAGGAAGTTGTCTTAGGTTATGTGAGAGAGGTGCTTCCTTATCTTTATGGTTTAACAGAAACTAATTGGAAGACCATGAGTGGATTTTACACCAAACCACAGGAAAATCTAAAAGTGCCATCCCACAGTTATAGCCACAGAGTGCCATTACATAAACCTACAGTTTGGGAGAATATTTTGATTTGGTCAGGTTGCTTTGAAAAGGAAGGTGAAGTCCCAGAGACTATCATGTTTGAGATGCCTGATGCTACAAAGGACAAACTCCCGGTGAAGGGCATCTATGTAATGATTGCCCTGACCGTGGCAGGGTGCATTTTCATGATTATGGAGGGCAAAAAAGCTGCCAGAAGAAATGAGTCTTTAACAAGCTTGAACCTGGAACAGAGAGCTCATCTGGGAGAAGAAGCTCTGAAGACCGAACCTGAGTAGCAGAGAT